TATTGTTGTGTTAATGGTTGGTCGGTATGATCTTGAAGGTCTTTTCCAACCTAAACGATTCTATGGTTCTATGATTCTATGATTTAAAGCCCAGATTGCTTTCCCTGCACAGCAGGGATAGAGAAGAGTGGTTTATTCCCCTGTAAAGATACATCCTGTCGTGTCCCCCGTCTGCCTTCTCTGGATTAAGGGGTCCCCGATAAAGCAGTCGGTGCCCAAACTGCCCGTGAAAGCCCCCGTACCAACTGCGCTCAAAGCTCATCTTTGCTTTTGCATCAAATCCCCGCCGCCGGCCGACAAGCCCATCTCCCCCGCCCACGAACGGCCGTGCCGAGGTTCAGTCTCGGCGTCGGGGTGGGTGCGGGAGCCACTGCCAGAGCCCTGAGCTCCCCCGTTTCCCTCCATCTTCCCGAACAGCAAAAGTGCAGACTCAGCAAGCGGGGCCTGGCAGGAGCCCAGCGGGAATCGTGACTTCTCCGTTGCTCCGCCGATGCGACACGTGCTGCCTTGATTGCTCCATGTGTTTATTCTCCGTTCCTGGCTAATCATGTTTGTTTGCCACGTAAGGGCCAGTGAACGTCCCTCCCCTGGGTGAAGGCAGTGCAGCTTCACCAGGCAAAAGCAAACATGGGCATGGGGTTACGGGTAGTCAAAATGGAGGGCAAGGCCTTTGGGGATACGTCCTTGGTTCTGGATGTCCCCACCATTGCGTTCAGGGAAAGGACCGCAGGATGCAGCCTCTGTCTGCAGCCCAAAGCGTCCCTGGATGAAGCATCCTGCCAGCGTGGAGCTGGCCCCGCGTCGCGTGCCCATCACTGGGGCCATTTGGGTTTGTACGGGTGATCCTCCCACCCCTCCCCAAAAAAATATCACATGCGGTTTCAGGGCGGGGAGACACATGCGGGGGAGCCACGCAAGAGGCCACGCGGAGAAAACCCGGCTGGAGCACGAGGGTGGGCGCAGCCGCTGCTGGGGGCTGCGCGGTGGGATGGACTCGGTGACCTGGCTGGCCCTGCCAGGCAGGAGTTGTGATTTAACTAGTTTCTCCTTTCCCGCTGTTTGCTCTGGAGAAACGTCCCCAACATCAAGGGAAGCGTTATCTGCGGCATCTGCACACAGCCTCACGTGCGGCGTTTCCCAAGGCTGCAAACAACCCCCCCGGCCAAGCTCAGATGGGCCCAGCAAGCCCCACGGTGGATTTTGAAGCCGTGAGGTTATGAAAACAGACCCATAACCACATTTCCAGGGAGCCGGCTTGGTGCTCAACGCCTCCCCGAGAGCTGGAGGGATGCAGCCGCACGTGCCGGCACGGCACCAGGTCTGCAGCTGGCTGGTCCTGGGGGTCCGAGGGTGCAGGTCTCTTCTTCGGAAGCAGCAGGAGTCTCACGTCCTGACCTGGAAGCCGTGGGGTTCATCCCTGCATCAGTGCAGGATACGGCCCAGCCGCAGCCAGGCACTGGCCCTGGGGATGGGAAGGGGGGGGAAATAGCTCCGACACCACCAGTGCTTCGTGCTCAGCCTGAAGGTTTCATCCCCACCCTCCGTAATCATAAAAAGTCTTAGAAATGTTAGGTAATTGGAGAGGAATCGATTTTTTTTCCTTAAAACCAGGGAGAGTCCCTTAATCCCTTGCTGTTATACACTATAAAACAATATAAATAATGGTCTCTCTGCGTTTTCCTCCCCGCAGCACTGGTGAGCGGCACGGCATCACTGGGGACTGGCCCCGGCCAGGGCCGACCCCGCACCCAAGGGAGAAAGGTAGGCTTGGACCCCGCGAGATGGGCTTGAACATCACCTGCCAGCTCCTCGGTTTTGCTTTAGGGAACAGAGCAGACGCCTCCGAACCATCAAACTCCAGCTTTACGGCAGCCAGAACCAGTTCTGCGAACGCAGCAATACATTAATCGGCGCTGGCTGCTGCGGGAAGAGCTACTAAAAACGGGGATGTACCTGGCATAGCCCCAAAAAAAAAACCCCTTGTGCGATGCAAAGCCGACGTGGAGCAGCTGGGAAGTGGGAAGAGTTGGATTTGAAATGGCGGATCACGGAGTCCATGAAGCCGGTCCCAGTGCAGCACCAAACCCCTGCGCTTTTGGGATGCTGTGGGCACGGGAGTGGAAGCAGCTCCGTCACTGGGGTTTAGGGCGACAGACACCCATCTCGGGGGGCTGATCCTGACTGGGGATGGGAATGGCACAACTGGGGTTCCCCTGGCCTCGCAGCGGGGAACGGGAAAGGTGTACATGATCCCCAGGCTGGGAACGAGACGGCACGAATACAGCCATCGCTGTGTTCTCATTACGAGTAATCCTTCCTGAACAAGCATGTGTCTCTTTGGTAAATACTGATATCACCTATCAACAAATCTGAATTTATTTACATCAGAGACTTTGAGCCAGGACTGGCAACTCTGACATAAATTGTCTGAACAATGCAACATATCCTCTCCTTGCTGGTTGCTATGGGTACTGGGCTGTTTTATCCTCTGTCTATAAACATTAACTGTGAAGGGGATGTGGAAACTTATCTAAAAATAAAATACTATGCCCAAGTCTTTAAGAGGAAGGTCGTTGAGATGGTGATAAAAAAAATCCTTGTGCAATGGTTCTGAAGCGGTGAAACACAAACACGGTGTCCGTGAGCCTGGCCGAAGGAAACAAGAGGCTGGACTGAAAAGAAACGAACACTTTTAATTCCTG